CTGCTCCGTTGAGTGGAGTGTTGGCTCCCTGAGCCACGCCCCCTGTGCACAGTTAACCTCGGTGTCCCCGGGAACGATCAGCAAGCGGGAGTTAGCCATCCCATCCTTATCGCCAAGAATTGTCGTGGAAATTCTAACCAGAAAGGAAAGAGACTGTAAATTCTTCAAACAACAACTTTTTATTATAAGATTTGCAAATCTGGAGCTGGTCAACAACCACTCAAAAAGGTGATCGTTAAGAACCCAACAAGCAAGAGTTGGGTCTCGGCCTATATAGGAAAATACAACCTCTGTCTACGTGGCAGTTTTAGCAGGTGTGTGAGATCCTAGTGGGAACATGGCATACAAACAAGTGATAACCCCAGTGTTGTTACTCCTGTCTGCCGATAGAATTGCCGCTGCTGCTCCAGCCGGCCTCTGTTCTCTTCATATCTCCACACGGCTGTGCCCTTAACAGAAGAACAGGATGGACAAAAAAAACTGTGGTCACGCTGAGGCTCTTTCTCTTTGGCCGCGTGACCAAGTTACTCAGAAACAAGAGAGGAAAAAAAAACACCGGCTTCTTACATGAGAGAAAGACCGTGGAAGGCTCGTACAGCGCATGTGCATAACAACGTTTGTAATTCCCCCCCCCGTATAGCCCACCTACGTTCATGTTATCCATATAAAATACAGTTTATAAATCTGCTATGGACGCATCTTTGCCAGAACAATACTATTAGGCTCCCTGGTGATTTCATTGATAATTTATACATTTCAGATAGGCCTAGTTTGGGTGGTTTTATAATTAGTGTTCAGAAAGTGTCCAAACCCCTTGACTTTGTGCTGCACCCAATCCTAACGTCACATTGTAGGAGAGAGGATCCATAAATATGCAGTGAAAAAAAAATAATAATAATTGGTTGATCAAGAATATTATAGCTAACTGTTGCAAGCGCGCCAGCTATGGGGGCATCAAGCACAACAGTTACTAGCATATGCCTAGTGGTATTTTGGTATGTCAAAATTACTTGAAATTGATCATTTACTTGGAATTTGTTGTTGACAAAATAATGAAAAGGTCTGTATGGTAGCCTCAATAAAAAGACAACGATTTGTAGTTGAACAACTCATTGCATGTAATAGATTATTTTTTACTTGACTTGGAAAAAAGTTAACTTGCTCTTTTAGAATGCACGACTTGGACTCGACTCGACTTGCTTGTGACTCGAATAATAGTGACTTGGTTCCACCTCTCCCTCTCTGTGAGCGTTCCTATAAATGGAACAGGGAGGACACTTGAATCAGGTCGGTGACATTTGACCTGGTAAAAGTTACGAGTTTTGTCCCAATTCACCTTCATAACCTAGCCTGGGTGGAACCAGCCTGATTGCTGCGTTTTACCGTTCTATTTCAGTTCACATATCATAATATCTGAAGTGAAATAGGAAGGTGAACGCAGCGTTCAGGTTGGTTCCACCATGCTAATCATATAACCACCATTGATGCTGTAATCAGTGCACTGTGTTGTTTGTGTGTGATCAACCAGTGTCTTTGATGAGTGGCCAGGAGCTGATCTATGCTGCTAGCCTCCACCTCTTGCCTGCTCACCAACGGTCGTCGACGGGGAGAACAGAATTAGACAGGTTTAGTCTGACCTGTTCAAACTTCAACATAGTGCCTGTTTGTGTGTCAGATATCACCAATCCTAACTGCCATTGGTAATAGAACAGTGACTATGTGTGTCAGATATCACCAATCCTAACTGCCATTGGTAATAGAACAGTGACTATGTGTGTCAGATATCACCTATCCCTAACTGCCATTGGTAATAGAACAGTGACTATGTGTGTCAGATATCACCAATCCTAACTGCCATTGGTAATAGAACAGTGACTATGTGTGTCAGATATCACCTATCCCTAACTGCCATTGGTAATAGAACAGTGACTATGTGTGTCAGATATCACCTATCCCTAACTGCCATTGGTAATAGAACAGTGACTATGTGTGTCAGATATCACCTATCCCTAACTGCCATTGGTAATAGAACAGTGACTATGTGTGTCAGATATCACCTATCCCTAACTGCCATTGGTAATAGAACAGTGACTATGTGTGTCAGATATCACCTATCCCTAACTGCCATTGGTAATAGAACAGTGACTATGTGTGTATGTGTTCTCACAGATACCTGTATGGAGCCAGCACTTGGAGACTTGCAAGAAGATGTGATGAAGTCCAGACTGACAGACGGGCTTAATACTGATGTCTCTGAATGGAGAGAGACAGGCTTGATACTGGTGTCTCTGAATGGAGAGAGACCTGGCACTCTGCATTAAACTTCTAGTTGACATCTTTTCCTTGCATTGTCTTTTTTAATTATTGAATGGTATCAGTCAATATGGGGAGGGTTAAACCCTGTGTGTTCTGCACCAGGATCAGGGAACTCCTGTTGTATACGAGACACCACACAAGAAGTTATGACCACTCTGACATGTTACCAAGGTAACCCCATTACCACTAGACAAAATGCTGATAGTCACAGTATCTGTATCGGCTGGCAATCACAATGAAAGATGAAAGGTGCACATTGATTATTTAACAGAACACTGCTTCTATGGTGTTATGTAAAGGGTTGTTTATTCTACATGGACCTGTTACTACATTTGAAAGTTATTAAAACACTTAGTTTAGAATATCTACATAAATTCAGCAGTTGCATTCTTCTCATATTACTCTGTAGGCTACTGACCTATTCAAAGCTTCCTCCAGCATCTCACCATACATCTCCATGTAGTTATTGAACTCCACCTGCAGGAGGTTTGTTTGTTGTGATTGAGTGGGAGGAAACCGCTGCGGGCAAGGTTCTGACAGATGGGTGTGTCTTGGTGGTGGCAAGGACACACCCACATCAAACCACACCCCCAAGCCAGCTCACGTTTGGCTTCTGTCATGGCCGCCAGCATTTCTTGAGGAGCAAGCCAAAACAGGAGGCCAAATCAGCGGGTGCAGTCCTCCTTTAACCTCTACGGGATCGGTGTCCCGTACAGTGCTGTGAAAAAGTATTTGCCCCCTTTCTAATTTTCTCTACTTTTGCATATTTGTGATACTGAATGTTAGCAGATCTTCAACCAAAACCTAATATTAGATAAAGGGAACATAAGTGAACAAATAACACAACAATTACATATTTATTTCATAAACAAAGTTATGCAACACCCAATTCCCCTGTGTGAAAAAGTAATTGCCCCTTACACTCAATAACTGGTTGTGCCACCTTTAGCTGCAATGACTCCAACCAAATGCTTCCTGTAGTTGTTGATCAGTCTCTCACGTCGCTGTGGAGGAATTTTGGCCCACTCTTCCACGCAGAACTGCTTTAACTCAGTGACGTGTGGGTTTTCAAGTATGAACTGCTCGTTTCAAGTCCTGCCACAACATCTCAATTGGGATTAGGTCTGGACTTTGACTAGGCCATTCGAAAACTTCCAATTTGTTGCTTTTTAGCAATTTTCATGGAGACTTGATTGTGTGTTTTGGATCATTGTCTTGCTGCATGACCCAGCTGCGCTTCAGCTTCAGCTCACAGACGGATGGTCTGACATTCTCCTGTAGAATTCTCTGATACAGAACAGAATTCATGGTTCCTTCTATTAAGGCAAGTCGTCCAGGTCCTGGGGCAGCAAAGCATCCCCAAACCATCACACCACCACCACCATGCTTGACCTTTGGTATGATGTTCTTACTGTAGAATGCAGAGTTTGGTTTTTGCCATTTTCAAATGTAGGAACTGGGTTCTACAAAGCATTCTGGGTAATGGTGCTTAGCATGTGGTCCTCTGTAGCTCAATTGGTAGAGCATGGCGCTTGTAACGCCAGGGTAGTGGGTTCGATCCCCGGGACCACCCATACGTAAAAATGTATGTGCACATGAATGTAAGTCGCTTTGGATAAAAGCGTCTGCTAAATGGCATATTATTATTATTATTATTATTATTATTACAGTTTGAACTCTTGCTGTGTCTGGCTTCACACCCACCCGGCCATCTAGATGTGTGAAAGTTAGTGTATAAGCTAATGATCCATCATGTATGACATTCATGGGAGTGTGTAAACTTACATTTTGTATTACCATATCATTTTTGTATGTTCTCTATAGTTATGTACTTGAAAATGTATCAATTGACCAATTCGGCACATTTGGGCAGACTTGATACAAAATAGTCCAGTATTGCAATGCTTCACTGGATCAATCTGAAACTTTGCACACACTGCTGCCATCTAGTGGCCAATATCTAAATTGCGCCTAAACTGCAATATTATATTGTGGCCTTCCTCAAAGATACTTTAAAAAATAAAATGCATGTTTTTTGGTTTGTATTATCTTTTACCAGATCTAATGTGTTATATTCTCCTACATTAATTTCACATTTCCACAAACTTCAAAGTGTTTCCTTTGAAATGGTATCAAGAATATGCAAATCCTTGCTTCAGGTCCTGAGCTACAGGCAGCTAGCTTTGGGTATGTCATCTTAGGCAAAAATTTAAAAAAAAGGGTCCGATCCTTAAGAGGTTAAACCCCTCCTGTCATTACCATATGCAAGCGCTAGACCAGGGCGAAGTCCCAATTATCTCTCCTTCCTCTCTAAGTGTGCACTTGTTGACTTTGCCTTGACTGATCTGAGAATATGGTGTAATCTCCCACTAAACCCACGCCTCCACCAATCCAATGCTTTTAGATCTGTGTGAAGTAGTGACTGAGTGATTAGATGTTTTTGGGACGCACCTATTACTATGTCACTATGTTATTGGGACGCACCGATTACTATAATAGATAGGACTGACTGTATAGTATGTTGAGGTACTCGATTTATTTAATGTATTGATGTTTATTGGCCTCGTAACACTTGAGCTAGACTAGAATAGACAGAACTAGCAAACGTATAGTAGTAGGTCGAGGTTTTGTCGTTCTCTCACTAACACGTCTGTCCGTCCGTCCATCTGTCCGTCTGTTCCCAGGTGGGCATCCTGAACCGTCTTAGTGCGGAGAACGCCGATGAGTTTAACTTTGTGCGTTCCTACGAGTGTTTCCAACACAAGGGCCACACCTGCCTGGTGTTTGAGATGCTGGAGCAGAACCTGTATGACTTCCTGAAGCACAGCAAGTTCAGCCCCCTCCCACTACGACACATACGACCCATACTGCAACAGGTGACAATACAACACTTTACAACTTTATTGATACAGAGACAATATGTGGTGTATTTACCTGGTGCTCATTCTGAATGTGTAATTTATTACATGTTTACCTGTTACCTCACCATACATTTTACTCAAAAGAACTCTCCAAAACAATACAATTGCGTGGTGCCGTACTTGTGCTTTGTGTCAGCCTTAATGTGTGTTTGTGTCTTTAAATTGTAATTAAAGTCCTAGTAAAATGTTTATTCAGAGGAGTGTTAACCCTTCAGTGTTCATAGCTGGCACACAGCTTTTTAACCCTTCAGTGTTACCTCTATTTCCCCACCAGGTGGCGACGGCGCTGATGAAGTTGAAGTCTCTGGGTCTGATCCATGCTGACCTTAAGCCAGAGAACATCATGCTGGTGGATCCTCTCAGACAGCCCTACAGGGTCAAGGTCATCGACTTCGGTTCAGCTTCTCACGTCTCCAAGGCTGTCTGCTCAACGTACCTGCAGTCACGATACTACAGGTAGATACCTGTTTTTACACCTCATATTGGGGTTTTCTTTGCACGTGTGTGTGTGTGTGTGTGTGTGTGTATGAGTGATACAACATGTTTGCATCTGTGAGTAATAACTGGTACAGGTATATCTAGTTTTAGAACTCCAGTCAAAAGTTTTAGAACACCTACTCATTCAAGGGTTTTTCTTTATTTTTACTATTTTCTACATTGTAGAATAATAGTGAAGACATCAAAACTATGAAATAACACATGGAATCATGTAGTAACCAAAAAAAGTGTTAAACAAATAAATATATTTTATATTTGAGATTCTTCAAATAGCCACCCTTTGCCTTGATGACAGCTTTTTCAGTCTTCCAGAGATTTGAGACTGGGATGGAGGTTCGCCTTCCAGTAGGACAATGACCCTAAGCATACTGCTAAAGCAACACTCGAGTGGTTTAAGGGGAAACATTAAAATGTCTTGGAATGACCTAGTCAAAGCCCAGACCTCAATCCAATTGAGAATCTGTGGTATGACTTAAAGATTACTGTACACCAGCGGAACCCATCCAACTTGAAGGAGCTGGAGCAGTTTTGCCTTGAAGAATGGGCAAATATCCCAGTGGCTAGATGTGCCAAGCTTATAGAGACATACCCCAAGAGACTTGCAGCTGTAATTACTGCAAAAGGTGGCTCTACAAAGTATTGACTTTGGGGGGGTGAATAGTTATGCACGCTCAAGTTCTGTTTTTTTGTCTTATTTCTTGTTTGTTTCACCCCAAAAAATATTTTACATCTTCAAAGTGGTAGGCATGTTGTGTAAATCAAATGATACAAACCCCACAAAAATCAATTTTAATTCCAGGCTGTAAGGCAACAAAATAGGAAAAATGCCAAGGGGTGGTGAATACTTCCGCAAGCCACTGTAAGTATTCAGACCCTTTACTCAGTACTTTGTTGAAGCACCTTTGGCAGCGATTACAGCCTCGAGTCTTCTTGGGTATGACGCAACAAGCTTGGCACACCTGTATTTGGGGAGTTTCTCACATTCCTCTCTGCAGATCCTCTCAAGCTCTGTCAGGTTGGATGGGGAGTGTCGCTGCACAGCTATTTTCAGGTCTCTAGAGATGTTTGATCGGGTTCAAGTCTGGGCTCTGGCTGGGCCACTCAAGGACATTCAGAGACTTGTCCCGAAGCCACTCCTGCATTGTCTTGGCTGTGTGCTTAGGGTCGTTGTCCTATTGGAAGGTGAACCTTCGCCCCAGTCTGAGGTCCTGAGCGCTCTGGAGCAGGTTTTCATCAAGGATCTCTCTGTACTTTGCTCCGTTCGTCTTTGCCTTGATCTTGACTAGTCTCCCAGTCCCTGCAGCTGAAAAACATCCCCACAGCATGATGCTGCCACCACCATGCTTCACCGTAGGGATGGTGCCAGGTTTCCTCCAGACGTGACGCTTGGCGTTCAGGCCAAAGAGTTCAATCTTGGTTTCATCAGACCAGAGATTCTTGTTTCTCATGGTCTGAGAGTCTTTAGGTGCCTTTTGGCAAACTCCAAGCGGGCTGTCGTGCCTTTCACTGAGGAGTGGCTTCCGTCTGGCCACTCTACCATAAAGGCCTGATTGGTGGAGTGCTGCAGAGATGGTTGTCTTTCTGGAAGGTTCTCCCATCTCCACAGAGGAACTCTGGAGCTCTGTCAGAGTGACCATCAAGTTCTTGGTCATCTCCCTGACCAAGGCCCTTCTCCTCCGATTGCTCAGTTTGGCCGGGCGGCCAGCTCTAGGAAGAGTCTTGGTGTTTCCAAACTTCTTCCATTTAAGAATGATGGAGGCCACTGTGTTCTTGGGGACCTTCAATGCTGCAGATATTTTTTGGTATCCTTCCCCAGATCTGTGCCTCAACACAATCCTGTCTTGAAGCTCTATGAACAATTCCTTCGACCTCATGGCTTGGTTTTTGCTCTGACATGCACTATCAACTGTGGGACCTTATATAGACAGGTGTGTGCCTTTCCAAATCATGTCCAATCAATTGAATTTACCACAGGTGGACTCCAAGTTGTAGAAACATCTCAAGGATGATCAATGGAAAAACAGCAGAACACTTTCCCAATATACTGCTTCATACTAAGTGTGTGAGCATGTTATCTGTGTTGTTGTTATGTTATCTGTGTTGTTGTTGACATGTTATCTGTGTTGTTGTTGACATGTTATCTGTGTTGTTGTTGACATGTTATCTGTGTTGTTGTTGACATGTTATCTGTGTTGTTGTTGACATGTTATCTGTGTTGTTGTTGACGTGTTGTTCTCTCTTCAGGGCTCCAGAGATCGTCCTGGGTCTGCCGTTCTGTGAGGCCATAGACATGTGGTCTCTGGGCTGCGTTATAGCAGAGCTTTTCCTGGGGTGGCCTCTGTACCCCGGAGCCTCAGAATACGACCAGGTAGGAACCACGCACACACACACACACACACACACACACACACACCGAGACACGCACACATTATTTTATCTTAAACTGTTATGATGGATTCCCTCCCTCCCTCTGCTAGATCCGGTACATTTCCCAGACCCAGGGCCTGCCTGCAGAGTACCTGCTGAGCGCCGGCACCAAGACTAGCCGCTTCTTCAAGAGAGGACCTGACTCCAGCTACCCCCTCTGGAGGATCAAGGTATAGACCCTTTACACCAGTACACGACACACTTGACGTCAACCACAGATGTGCGCGACTATTGGCGGCAGTGAGAAAGCCATCAACATCTATTCGCCCATTCAACATAACTTAGATTTACGTTTTTATTACTTCTAAACAAAATAACTTTTTTGGGGGGGTTCTCATACGCTTACAATGATATTTAGCTTGAACAGGTCGCTAAGATTACATTTGGTTGTGATAAATAACTATTTAGGATGCAGCAGTTGTTAGCTAGAATGCTATATATTTATACTCCGGACTCCGACATTGCTCGTCCTAATATTTATATATTCCTTAATTCCTTTCTTTTACTTTTACATTTGTGTGTGTATTGTTGTGAATTGTTAGATATTATTGCACTGTTGGCATTTCGCTGGATGATCAAGGTATTACAGTACACCTGACCCCATCTATCCCTCTGGAGGATCATGGTATTACAGTACTGACTCAATTTTTTCCCCTCTGGAGGATCAAAGTATTACAGTACTGACTAAATCCCCCCCCCCTCTGGAGGATCAAGGTATTACAGTACTGACTCAATTTATCCCTCTGGAGGATCAAGGTATTACAGTACTGACTCAATTTACCCCTTGACCCCCTCTGGAGGATCAAAGTATTACTCCTCTTGGCTCTGCTGTAACAATCTGCTGACTTTAGTGATTCATTCTGGATACGGTTGCTGAGTCCCAAATGACACCCTATTCCCTATGTAGTGCACTACAGAGCCCTGGTCAAAGTAGGTGCACTATGTAGGGAATAGACTGCCATTTGGGACCGCATACCTAGTTGTTCCTGCCAGAACCAGCACATGGATCTCAGGGCACTGCTGTGAACAGGGCTTTTAGTTGGGTTTCTTGGGCAGATACAAACTACATTTTCCCTAGTGCAGTTAGTTATTAGTGTTTTGGTGGTGACGACAAGGGTAACAGACAAGGGTAACAGACAAGGGTAACAGACAAGGGTAACAGACAAGGGTAACAGACAAAGGTAACAGACAAGGGTAACAGACAAGGGTAACAGACAAGGGTAACAGACAAAGGTAACAGACAAGGGTAACAGACAAGGGTAACAGACAAGGGTAACAGACAAGGGTAACCTTCCTGATCTGTCTGTTCACTAGGCCCCTTCAGAGCACGAGGCTGAGATGGGCATCAAGTCAAAGGAGGCCCGTAAATACATCTTCAACTGTCTGGATGACTTGATGCAGGTAGGTACGCTATATGACTTCATCTAGTATGTCACATTTACGATCCATCACGTTTACTTTTATAAAGCCCTTTTTTACATCCGCCATTTTCTTTTCTTTTTTCTTAACCTTTATTAGTGTTGTTGAGATAAAAAAAAAAAAAAAATGTTCACGGGAAACCTGAGGGGGTATACTACAAAGCAGGTCTGAGGAGTTAGCGAGGTAACTTTGGTCAACTGAGTTCAACTCGGGATAACCGGTACCACGAAAATGGCTCAGCTTTTAGCCAGGTTAAATTTCTATGGCAATGTATCCTTCCATTGGAAACAACAGCCTGTGATCTATCTTGGGTTTGTTATAAAAAAGTATTTGGTAGAGCAGGACGATACGGACAACAATCCATATTACCGCGATAAATTTACAATTGTTTTTGCGATTTGCGTTAAATAATTGTTTTGTGGTGCACAGTCACTCTCCATTAGCACCCTTTTTTACACCATGTCAAAGAAATGTCCATAATATATTATCCTAAGTTATTTGGTTACCAGGTGATGAGCATATGATTTGTAAGACGCTATGACGCTGTCTACAGAAAGAGACCTGTATTTTAAACATTCATTTAGTGATGCATTTATTTCAGATTTTTAAATGTAGTAGTATTTCAAACCATTTTTCCAAGTCCATCAGTAAATTGGTGTTTGGTCATTGCAGTATATTAATTACTCCAAACACAATCGTAATCTAGGCCTATGACTTTTTGCTCAATTTATATTTAACTGCAGATGCAGGAACGCCCACATGCAGGAACGCCCACACGCAGGAACGCCCCGAATTGCGGGCTGCAGTTTCACACTATTGTTAATAAATGCCGTGCTGCTCCGTAGGCTGGTAGTCTGAATACTTATGTAAATGTGATATTTCAGTTTTGTATTTTTAAAACATTTGCAAAAATGTCTAAACTTTTTTTTTGTTGCTTTGTCATTATGGGGTATTGTGTGTTGATCAATTTGTGGACTTTCCGAATGCACTGTATGTGTTTTTGGTTGTTGAGTCAATGAGAGTAGCCCATTTCAAGCTTATCTTAAAAAAAAAAATATATATATATATATATATATATATTTCTGAACATTTGGGCAGGTTAGCTGGCTAATTCATTGATTCTGCTTTGCTGTAAACTCCTCTGCTCTCTCTCCCCAAATCCTAATTAACCCTCTCACCAGGCTCGAATTTCACTCTCATGATATTACCTTATTTAGAATATCTGAACAGCATTGGGATATTAGGTGAGAAGGACATCTCCAATAAGAATCCCTATCGTAAACTCGCTAGGGTGAATGACAAATAGGGTATTAACTTAAGATAGAATGATTATAGACTTGGTTATTATTATAAGGATATGCTTTCCCATGCATTAAATTAAAACTGAAACAGTGAATGACTCCACCAGTGCAACAGACATAAGGTTCAAGATCTATATTATCACATTTTCAATGTACCACATCAAAAGAAAGAAAAAATAAATAATCCCCAATTATTTTTTTCACAACCCATGTCCAAATTACGTGCAAGCTTGCTTAAACCCTGGGCGTGCGCTGGAGCAACAACAAAAAAATAACGACATACATAAAGTCCCGAAGTCCACCCCACATTTGTAGTTACTCACTACTTGTAGATAATGCCTCAGCAAAGTATAGCAGTTCCGTGCAGGTGTCCTCACAAGATCCACAGCGAACACAGCTATCAATGCAGCCGGTACTCCGTAGCAGCAACAGACATCCGTTGGAAACCCGAACTGATCGTCACAAGCAATTCTCTCCAAGTCTCGCACGATGCTAGGCTAACCTCTAGGATGTCGAATGTCTCCACAATGCGACGGCAGCTTCAGTCACCACTTGGTCTTTCTTAACTAAATAATAAACACTCTCTTATAGAAAATAAAATCAGGATTTTCCTTCAAAACTCTGTAGGTATGGTTTTGTTATCTCTTTATCGTTTCCTTTAGTCGTTTGTCTTACATTTACATTTACGTCATTTAGCAGACGCTCTTATCCAGAGCGACTTACATTATTAATTTATTTATTTATTTATTTATTTTTTCATACTGGCCCCCCATGGGAATCGAACCCACAACCCTGGCGTTGCAAACGCCATGCTCTACCAACTGAGCTACCTCCCTGCCGGCCATTCCCTCCCCTACCCTGGGCCAATTGTGCGCCGCCCCATTGGTCTCCCGGTTGCGGCCGGCTACAGCAGAGCCTGGATTCGAACCAGGATCTCTAGTGGCACAGCTAGCACTGCGATGCAGTGCCTTAGACCACTGCGCCACTCGGGAGGTCTTCACCAACACCGATAACGTCTCTCCTCTCTTTTCTTTCAACTTTTTCCCAGCAACCAGTCCACTCTCCCATTGGCCACAACTTAACAAGCTACCTCATTGGTCAAAACTTTAACAAGATACGTGGGAAACTTAAACTTAAAAGTAAACCAACCGATTCACTTGTACATTAAAGAAAACATTGCTTCAAAAGAAATGCATTAACGACATTACAAATCAGGAGCACAATTCGATCACCTTTTAAATCTAATACCAATTAATTATAAGAAATAAACTCTATACTTGGTTTTAGCAAGGGTATTACACTAAATTTAACCATTAGATAATCCTAAACTGACCGTAGAACTTTCTAGCGGCACGTTCATCCAACCTGACCTTTTCCTGTTTCCTGTTGCATCACTTCTTCCTGGTGCAGGTCAACCTGTCCTCTCACCTGGAGGGGTCGGACATGCTGGCGGAGAAAGCTGATAGGAGGGAGTTCATCGACCTGCTGAAGCGGATGCTCCGATTGGATGCTGACAAGAGGATCACGCCCACTAAGACGCTGGGTCATCCCTTCGTCACCATGAGTCACCTGCTGGACTTCCCTCACAGCTCCCAGTACGTACACCTGTCTGTGATGTGAACGAATGTTCGGGTTGTGGGGAAGGGGGGGGGGGGGGGGGGGGGGTTCACGTTTGACTTTTCCCTCTGTGGATGAAATTTGATTGGTTGATCGATTTGTTTCAATAATTGTATTGATCAATAGATTGATTGTTTGTTTCTCCCCCTTGCAGTGTGAAGTCTTGCTTTCAGAACATGGAGCTCTGTAAGCGTAGGAGCTCATCGTTCGACAACAACAAAACTCTCTTCTCCACTAACAGTCTTCCCAGTGCATCCGCCGGCAACCTCACTGTCACCTTCAGCAGCCAGCTCAACCAGGTACACACACACACACACACCATGGGCAGGATCTATCAAACCATGGGCAGGATCTATCAAACCATAGGCAGGATCTATCAAACCATGGGCAGGATCTATCAAACCATAGGCAGGATCTATTAAACCATGGGCAGGATCTATTAAACCATGGGCAGGATCTATCAAACCATGGGCAGGATCTATTAAACCATGGGCAGGATCTATCAAACCATGGTGATTTAGGATCAGATGTTGCCTTTTTAGATCGTAATGAATAGGACTATATCGACAAGTGGGACCTGACTACTCTGAGGCGCTTAAGGATTATGGGCCCAGATCTAAGAACAAAATGGCAGCACACACAGTTAGTTCCGGACACTGTTCCAACTTCCATCTTGACTGACCAGTGTTCTAACTGTAAATGAACGGAAACCAACAGGTCCCGTCAGCAGGGGGAGCTGTTCCTCTCCTGAACTACCAGCCAGCCCTTTACCAGCAGGCCACCATCAACATCCCTGGGCTGACCCAACAGAGTGTCCCCCTGCAGGCTCGCCCCACAGGCCTGGCCTGCCAGTCTGAGCCCTTCCAGCAGACCCTCATCGTCTGCCCACCAAACACCATACAGGGTAAGAGCCAAACACTATTGGTGTCATGTGGTCCTCTGTAGCTCAGCTGGTGTAGAGCACGGCGCTTGTAACGCCAAGGTAGTGGGTTCGATCCCCGGGACCACCCATACATAAAAAATGTATGCACGCATGACTGTAAGTCGGTTTGGATAAAAGCGTCTGCTAAATGGCATATTATTATTATTATTATTATTATTATTATTATTATTATGATATAGAGATGACAGTGGGTTGAGTTCATAAGGGCACTAAAGGGAAGGCCTGTCTGCGGGGGAGGTCCAAGTACTCCAACCCCTTTTTGAGTTGGTGTTCTTCTGTTTGGTCCCTTTTAGTGATTTAGCAGACGCTCTTATCCAATGACGTACAGTTAGCGCATTCATCTTAAAATAACAGTATTTTTCTTCAAAGTAGCTATCATCAAAGTCATAGCTAGTAAAGGGGGGTTAGTGTTAGTTCACTAAGGGCTTTTTAAAAATGATGATTTGTTGTGGGATTATTTAAGATATGATCTACCCTCCACCATAGAATACTTCCTATTATAACAGCATATAAATGAACTAGCCTGGTCCCATATCTGTTTTGTCTTATGGCTTAATCTGTGTCCTTTATGTTTTAGAAGACAAATGGGTTCGGGGTTCATTAGGGGCGATGTCAAATGTTTTAAACTGGAACATTAAATGAGTGTTCGTTATTGGACAAGTCAGTAAAATCTTTGAAATTGTTGCATGTTGCGTTTATTTACATTTACATTTACATTTTAGTCATTTAGCAGACGCTCTTATCCAGAGTTAGTGAGTGCATACATTTTCATACTGGCCCCCCGTGGGAAACGAACCCACAACCCTGGCGTTGCAAGCGCCATGCTCTACCAACTGAGCTACAGGGGACAGTTTATATTTTTGTTCAATATGTATTTCAAATCTACCATAGACATACATAATATACACACACAGGAGTCAGCTCAGACAGATCCAGCTCAGAGAGGCCCAGCTCAGAGAGGCCCAGCTCAGACAGATCCAGCTCAGAGAGGCCCAGCTCAGATCCAGCTCAGAGAGGCCCAGCTCAGAGAGGCCCAGCTCAGAGAGGCCCAGCTCAGAGAGGCCCAGCTCAGACAGATCCAGCTCAGAGAGGCCCAGCTCAGAGAGGCCCAGCTCAGACAGATCCAGCTCAGAGAGGCCCAGCTCAGACAGATCCAGCTCAGAGAGGCCCAGCTCAGACAGATCCAGCTCAGAGAGGCCCAGCTCAGACAGATCCAGCTCAGAGAGGCCCAGCTCAGACAGATCCAGCTCAGAGAGGCCCAGCTCAGAGAGGCCCAGCTCAGACAGATCCAGCTCAGAGAGGCCCAGCTCAGAGAGGCCCAGCTCAGACAGATCCAGCTCAGACAGATCCAGCTCAGAGAGGCCCAGCTCAGACAGATCCAGCTCAGACAGATCCAGCTCAGACAGATCCAGCTCAGACAGATCCAGCTCAGAGAGGCCCAGCTCAGAGAGGCCCAGCTGAAGACAGATCCAGCTCAGAGAGGCCCAGCTCAGACAGATCCAGCTCAGAGAGGCCCAGCTCAGACAGATCCAGCTCAGAGAGGCCCAGCTCAGACAGATCCAGCTCAGAGAGGCCCAGCTCAGACAGATCCAGCTCAGAGAGGCCCAGCTCAGAGAGGCCCGAGAGGCCCAGCTCAGAGAGGCCCAGCTCAGAGAGGCCCAGCTCAGAGAGGCCCAGCTCAGACAGATCCAGCTCAGAGAGGCCCAGCTCAGACAGATCCAGCTCAGACAGATCCAGCTCAGAGAGGCCCAGCTCAGACAGATCCAGCTCAGACAGATCCAGCTCAGAGAGGCCCAGCTCATGAACTCCATCAGCAGCAGGTTTTTAATTTAGAATGGAAAATGAATGCGTTTATACATCAAATGTTAGTGCATCGAATCGTATCACATCGAACCGAGTCGCATTGATTCATTCTCTAATCAAACTGAAATCATACCGAATCGTTTCAAACTAAAAACTTATCATTCCTCTATCGGAGCCCATCCAGATACGTATCGAATCGTCTCGAAAGGGAAAGATGCACATTCCTAGTAATTACTTATGAATGACTTGGGCGTTAGTAACGCTATTGTGATGTCATGGTGTAGTGGTGGTCACTGATTGGCTGTTCCTCTGTCTGCAGGAATCCAGTCATCCAATAAGAACTCTAGATTCCCAGGGAGGATGGACAGTTCTGTCCCGATTGTGAACCAGAACCAATCAACACAGCCACTGCAGCTGCAGCCTGCCATGCTCACACAGGTACCGGGGGGGGGGGGGTGTGTGTGTGTGTGTGTGGGTGTGGGTGTGGGTGTGGGTGTGTGTGTGGGTGTGGGTGTGGGTGTGGGTGTGGGTGTGTGTGTGTGTGGGTGTGGGTGTGGGTGTGTGGGTGGGTGGGTGGGTGGGTGTGTGTGTGTGCTGGTTTCAGAACTCCAGTTCCTGCAGCTCAGAAGAATCTAAGACCTAGTCAGGTTGAAAGGTTGTTGGAGTTGGGCTCATGTCTCATTTTCTCCACTCCCTATCCGTGGATCATCATCATCATCATCACCTTGACGGTTCTATTGTCCAACCCAGATCTATCTAACCTCAATCAGTTCAGAAACACCTGCTTCCACAGGTCTAAAGGAATGAGTGTTCATCAATCTAGGAAAAGAGTCTGCCAACTTATTTAACCCTCCACACTTTCCTGCCTCATCCCCCATCCCCTCCCCTCCACCTCCCTCCCCCAGGGCTCCTGCACACCCCTGATGGTGGCTACCCTCCACCCCCACCCCCCCACGGTAGCAGGCGTAGCCCCCCAGTACTCTGTTCCCCTGGGGCTGGGCTGTGATGCTGGCCGCCCCACCTTGCTGGAGCACACTGCCACCGTGCTGGTAAAAGACACACACACACACACACACACACACACACACACACACACACACACACACACACACACACCCTTCAATCCTCTTCTTCTCATTCACTCCAATTTCAATCATTTTCTCTGGGCTATCTCTACTCTGACTATCCCTGTCTCTTACCTCTGTCTCTATCGAGCTATCTCTACTCTGACTATCCCTGTCATTTACCTCTGTCTCTATCGAGCTATCTCTACTCTGACTATCCCTGTCATTTACCTCTGTCTCTATCGAGCTATCTCTACTCTGACTATCCCTGTCATTTACCTCTGTCTCTATCGAGCTATCTCTACTCTGACTATCCCTGTCATTTACCTCTGTCTCTATCGAGCTATCTCTACTCTGACTATCCCTGTCATTTACCTCTGTCTCTATCGAGCTATCTCTACTCTGACTATCCCTGTCTCTTACCTCTGTCTCTATCGAGCTATCTCTACTCTGACTATCCCTGTCATTTACCTCTGTCTCTATCGAGCTATCTCTACTCTGACTATCCCTGTCTCTTACCTCTGTCTCTATCGAGCTATCTCTACTCTGACTATCCCTGTCTCTTACCTCTGTCTCTATCGAGGTATCTCTACTCTGACTATCCTGTCTCTTACCTCTGTCTCTATCGAGCTATCTCTACTCTGACTATCCCTGTCTCTTACCTCTGTCTCTATCGAGCTATCTCTACTCTGACTATCCCTGTCTCTTACCTCTGTCTCTATCGAGCTATCTCTACTCTGACTATCCCTGTCTCTTACCTCTGTCTCTATCGAGCTATCTCTACTCTGACTATCCCTGTCTCTTACCTCTGTCTCTATCGAGCTATCTCTACTCTGACTATCCCTGTCTCTTACCTCTGTCTCTATCGAGCTATCTCTACTCGGACTATCCCTGTCATTTACCTCTGTCTCTATCGAGCTATCTCTACTCTGACTATCCCTGTCATTTACCGCTGTCTCTATCGAGCTATCTCTACTCTGACTATCCCTGTCATTTACCTCTGTCTCTATCGAGCTATCTCTACTCTGACTATCCCTGTCATTTACCTCTTGTCTCTATCGAGCTATCTCTACTCTGACTATCCCTGTCATTTACCTCTGTCTCTATCGAGCTATCTCTACTCTGACTATCCCTGTCTCTTACCTCTGTCTCTATCGAGCTATCTCTACTCTGACTATCCCTGTCTCTTACCTCTGTCTCTATCGAGCTATCTCTACTCTGACTATCCCTGTCATTTACCTCTGTCTCTATCGAGCTATCTCTACTCTGACTATCCCTGTCTCTTACCTCTGTCTCTATCGAGCTATCTCTACTCTGACTATCCCTGTCATTTACCTCTGTCTCTATCGAGCTATCTCTACTCTGACTATCCCTGTCATTTACCTCTGTCTCTATCGAGCTATCTCTACTCTGACTATCCCTGTCATTTACCTCTGTCTCTATCGAGCTATCTCTACTCTGACTATCCCTGTCATTTACCTCTTGTCTCTATCGAGCTATCTCTACTCTGACTATCCCTGTCATTTACCTCTGTCTCTATCGAGCTATCTCTACTCTGACTATCCCTGTCATTTACCTCTGTCTCTATCGAGCTATCTCTACTCTGACTATCCCTGTCATTTACCTCTGTCTCTATCGAGCTATCTCTACTCTGACTATCCCTGTCATTTACCTCTGTCTCTATCGAGCTATCTCTACTCTGACTATCCCTGTCATTTACCTCTGTCTCTATCGAGCTATCTCTACTCTGACTATCCCTGTCATTTACCTCTGTCTCTATCGAGCTATCTCTACTCTGACTATCCCTGTCATTTACCTCTGTCTCTATCGAGCTATCTCTACTCTGACTATCCCTGTCATTTACCTCTGTCTCTATCGAGCTATCTCTACTCTGACTATCCCTGTCATTTACCTCTGTCTCTATCGAGCTATCTCTACTCTGACTATCCCTGTCATTTACCTCTGTCTCTATCGAGCTATCTCTACTCTGACTATCCCTGTCATTTACCTCTGTCTCTATCGAGCTATCTCTACTCTGACTATCCCTGTCATTTACCTCTGTCTCTATCGAGCTATCTCTACTCTGACTATCCCTGTCATTTACCTCTGTCTCTATCGAGCTATCTCTACTCTGACTATCCCTGTCATTTACCTCTGTCTCTATCGAGCTATCTCTACTCTGACTATCCCTGTCATTTACCTCTGTCTCTATCGAGCTATCTCTACTCTGACTATCCCTGTCATTTACCTCTGTCTCTATCGAGCTATCTCTACTCTGACTATCCGATCGAGCTATCTCTACTCTGACTATCCCTGTCATTTACCTCGGTCTCTATCGAGCTATCTCTACTCTGACTATCCCTGTCATTTACCTCTGTCTCTATCGAGCTATCTCTACTCTGACTATCCCTGTCATTTACCTCTGTCTCTATCGAGCTATCTCTACTCTGACTATCCCTGTCATTTACCTCTGTCTCTATCGAGCTATCTCTACTCTGACTATCCCTGTCATTTACCTCGGTCTCTATCGAGCTATCTCTACTCTGACTATCCCTGTCATTTACCTCTGTCTCTATCGAGCTATCTCTACTCTGACTATCCCTGTCATTTACCTCTGTCTCTATCGAGCTATCTCTACTCTGACTATCCCTGTCATTTACCTCTGTCTCTATCGAGCTATCTCTACTCTGACTATCCCTGTCATTTACCTCTGTCTCTATCGAGCTATCTCTACTCTGACTATCCCTGTCTCTTACCTCTTTCGCTCTCTCACTGTCTCTGTTTCCTTTTTCTCAGTCTGTCACTTCCTCTCTCTGCCGCGCACACACCCCCTTCCTCCTCTCTCTGTAGTTCGACTGTCCTGAGGGCATGGAGGCATGATGACTGACTGACTGACTGACTGACTGACTGACTGACTGACTGACTGACCGCGCTTTACTTCCTCCCCTCTCTGTAGTTCTACTGTCCTGAGGGCATGGAGGCATGATGACTGACTGACTGACTGACTGACTGACTGACCGCGCTTTACTTGAAGCCTCCTCTCGTTGCTTGTTCCCCCTCGCCCCTCCTTCCTAGAGGAGACACCAGCTAAGACACATCTTTCCTTAACAGCTCGAGCCATTCTTCTCCTCTCCTTTCAGTATTGGCACCGTGATGAGAAGGTTCTAGCAAGTGTATCCCTCCGTCCGTCCTCTCTTGTTGGATGTAGTTGTCCAGTTTATCAGGTCCCAGGCTGCAGCCAGATAGCTAGCTCTCTCTCTCTCTCTCTCTCTCTCTCTCTCTCTCTCTCTCTCTCTCTCTCTCTCTCTCTCTCTCTCTCTCTCTCTCTCTCTCTCTCTCTCTCTCTCTCTCTCTCTCTCTCTCTCTCTTTCTCACAGTCTCTCTGTCTCTCTCGCTCTCTCTCTCTCTCTCTCTCTCTCTCTTTCTCACAGTCTCTCTCTCTCTCTCTCTCTCTCTCTCTCTCTCTTTGCCTCATCAGTAACTAACTCACCTCTCTCCAAGTTTCTAGTTTTATTAGTCGTATGTACACATGGTATACATCGTCCAACCAAATGCTTACTTACAGGTTCCTTCTGGACAATGCAACAACAATAAGACATAGATAATAATACTACAAGATGAGAATAGGAATATAAAGGAAATGGCTCAGTAGAATAGAATGAACATTTTACCATCAGTATAAAACAGGAAGGAACCATTTATAGTCCAATATTTACATGTGTATTGGGGAAGGGGGGGATTGGTGTTTATATTGTGCAGTATTTAGCAATCATAATAAGAGTCTGGTATTTCTATTTATTAAGGATCCCCATTAGTTCCTGCCAAGGCAGCAGCTACTCTTCCTGGGGTCCAGCAACATTAAGGCAGTTATATACAATTTAAAATATTACATTACATTACATTTCAGAACACTTTTCACAACCCATTGTGTTCCCTCAAGCCACTGCTCTACTACCACATATCTACAATACAAAATCCATGTGTACGTGTGTGTAGAGTGTGTGTCTTATCATGTGTATGTGTGTGTCTGTAACTGTGTGTGTGTGTGTCTCTTCACAGTCCCCGCTGTTCCATAAGGTGTGTTTTTTAACTGTTTTTTAAATCAGATTCTACTGCTTGCATCAGTTACCTGATGTGGAATAGAGTTCCATGTAGTCATGGCTCTATGTAGTACTGTGCGCCTCCCATAGTCTGTTCTGGACTTGGGGACTGTGAAGAGACCTCTGGTGGAATGTCTTGTGGGGTATGCGTGGGTGTTCAGCATGTCAATACTTATTACAAAAACAAGTAGTGATGAAGTTAATCTCTCCTCCACTTTGAGCCAGGAGAGATTGACATGCATCTTATCAATGTTAGCTCTCCGTGTACATTTAAGGGCCAGCCGTGCTGCCCTGTCCTGAGCCAATTAAAACTTTCCTAAGTGCCTCTATGTGGCACCTGACCACACGACTGGACAGTAGTCCAGGTGTGACAAAACTAGGGCCTGTAGGACCTGCCTTGTTGATAGTGCTGTTAAGAAGGCAGAGCAGCGCTTTACTATCTGGCTTCTTCACCTGCGGGATCTTCTGAGACCAGCCACCGGACAAATGAGGAAACTGTGGGTTTGCATAACTGAAGAATTTCTGCACAAACTGTCAGAAACCGTCTCAGGGAAGCTCATCTGCGTGCTCGTCGTCCACACCAGGGTCATGACCTGACTGTAGTTCGGCGTCGTAAGCGACTTCAGTGGGCAAATGCTCACCTTCGATGGCCACTGGCACACTGGAGAAGTGTGCTCTTCACGGATAAATCCCAGGTTTCAACTGTACCGGGCAGATGGCAGACACCGTGTATGGCATCGTGTGGGTACGCGGTTTGCTGATGTCAACGTTGTCAACAGAGCGCACCATTGTGGCGGTGGGGTTATGGTATGGGCATGCATAAGCTACGGACAATGAACACAAGTGCATTTTATCGATGGTAATTTGAATGCACAGAGATACCGTGACGAGATCCTGAGGCCCATTGTCGTGCCATTCATCCGCCGCCATCACCTCATGTTTCAGCATGATAATGCTCAGCCCCATGACGCAAGGATCTGTACGCAATTAGTGGAAGCTGAAAATGTCCCAGTTCTTCCATGGCCTGCATACTCACCAGACATGTCACCAATGGAGCATGTTTGGCATGCTCTGGATCGACGTGTACAACAGCATGTTCCAGTTCCCGCCAATATCCAGCAACTTCGCACAGCAATTGAAGAGGAGTGGGACAAAATTCCACAGGACACAATCAACAGCCTGAAGGAGATGTCACACTGCATGAGGCAAATGGTGGTCACACCAGATACTGACTGGTTTTCTGATCCACGCCCCTACATCTGTGACCAACAGATGCATATCTGTATTCCCAGTCATGTGAAATCCATAGATTTAGGGCCTAATTTATTTATTTCAATTGACTGATTTCCTTATATGAACTGTAACTCAGTAAAATCTTTGAAATTGTTGCATGTTGCGTTTTATATTTTTGTTCAGTGTATTTACCCAAGAGAGCATATAGCTAGCTACATCTATGGGCTTTTATGATTTCTGTAGTGCGTAATGTCTTGGATAACGACATAATCATTTGGGCTTTTTTGATCTTGGGCTCCTTAAACGTCGTTAATGTAATAAAATCAAGCTCAGGTGGCATCAGGCTTGAATTTTCGATTCAAACCTCTAATCAAATCCAGACATAGGCCTATTTGTATGCTTTATAATGCTTTTGAATGACACTTCTGGTTTTGGCGGGAAATACCGGGTTACCCGGGAGAAAGGTGATTTGTTCTCGGGATGGAACATTTGTAAAATACAGGGAAAATATTCAACCCTATTCCTGACATTGATCACTAGCTCCAGCTTTACTCATTGGCTCTTTTGGACAATGACTTTATGATCAGAGTTGGCGCTGCTTTCATGTGATGATATTACAGATATACACTGGAATTAATGCTAAATGGTTTCTGTCTGTGTGTGTTTGTGTTTGTGTGTGTGTGTGTGTGTGTGTGTGTGTGTGTGGCGTGCGTGCGTGCGTGTGTGCGTGTTCCCTGTGGCAGGCTTGGCCCGCCGGCACCCAGCAGATCCTCATACCATCGTCATGGCAGCAGGTTCCTGGAGTGGCCGTCCACGGCTCCGCCCACCAGACGGTTGTCGCGGAGTCTCCCTTAGAGACGCTCCTTCCGGACACAGCCCAGCAGACAAACAGCTGGAGGTATGGTTATCACCATGGTTACATAGCAGTCTGTCAGAATAGACCTCTTATATAAGAGAACAGAAGTCAGTCCATCAAAATGATTATTCTTACCCCCAGATCACATCACGGTGTAACTATCCCAGAAAAGAGAAGCAAAAATGTGTACAAATTATTGAGCGTTCACTTGTCTGTCCGGAGTGCCGGATGGGCTGGGTTTGCGGTTTTGGGACTTTTCTATTGGTTTATTAAGCCAGGCAAGCTTGCAGGCATAGATCAAGTATTTGTAACCCAGGTCTGAAGAAAAGCAGGGGTACTCAGCTGTGTGTGGTGTGTGTGTAGGGGGTCTCGGTACAGCGGAGTACTGCAGCAGAGTCAATCGAACTTTGACCCTAGCCGGGGTCAGGCCACCCAGAGGTCACAGCAGGAGAGGAGTGGAGTGGGGAAGAGGGCCAAGGGTCGCCGCGGCAACAACAGAACCACCAGGTACAACTGACTGGAAGAGGAAGACTATAGATGGATAGTGGCATATCAACTAGTAACAGTTATCAACTATATAGTTACAGTTATCAACTAGTAACAGTTATCAACTATATAGTAACAGTTATCAACTAGTAACAGTTATCAACTATATAGTAACAGTTATCAACTAGTAACAGTTATCAACTAAATAGTTACAGTTATCAACTAGTAACAGTTCTCAACTAAATAGTTACAGTTATCAACTAGTAACAGTTATCAACTATATAGTAACAGTTATCAACTAGTAACAGTTATCAACTATATAGTAACAGTTATCAACTAGTAACAGTTATCAACTAAATAGTTACAGTTATCAACTAGTAACAGTTATCAACTATATAGTAACAGTTATCAACTAGTAACAGTTATCAACTATATAGTTACAGTTATCAACTAAATAGTTACAGTTATCAACTAGTAACAGTTATCAACTAGTTACAGTTATCAACTATATAGTTACAGTTATCAACTAGTAACAGTTATCAACTATATAGTTACAGTTATCAACTAAATAGTTACAGTTATCAACTAGTAACAGTTATCAACTAAATAGTTACAGTTATCAACTAGTAACAGTTATCAATTAGTAACAGTTATCAACTAAATAGTTACAGTTATCAACTAAATAGTTAGTTATCAACTATATAGTTACAGTTATCAACTAGTAACAGTTATCAACTAAATAGGTACAGCTATCAACTAGTAACAGTTATCAACTAAATAGTTACAGTTATCAACTAGTAACAGTTATCAACTAGTAACAGTTATCAACTAAATAGTTACAGTTATCAACTATATAGTTACAGTTATCAACTAGTAACAGTTATCAACTAAATAGTAACAGTTATCAACTAGTTACAGTTATCAACTATATAGTAACAGTTATCAACTAGTAACAGTTATCAACTAAATAGTTACAGTTATCAACTAGTAACAGTTATCAACTAAATAGTTACAGTTATCAACTATATAGTTACAGTTATCAACTATATAGTTACAGTTATCAACTAGTAACAGTTATCAACTAAATAGTTACAGTTATCAACTATATAGTTACAGTTATCAACTAGTAACAGTTATCAACTAAATAGTTACAGTTATCAACTAAATAGTTACAGTTATCAACTATATAGTTACAGTTATCAACTAGTAACAGTTATCAACTAAATAGTAACAGTTATCAACTAGTTACAGTTATCAACTATATAGTAACAGTTATCAACTAGTAACAGTTATCAACTAAATAGTTACAGTTATCAACTAGTAACAGTTATCAACTAAATAGTTACAGTTATCAACTAAATAGTTACAGTTATCAACTATATAGTTACAGTTATCAACTAGTAACAGTTATCAACTAAATAGTTAGTTATCAACTAGTCACAGTTATCAACTAAATAGTTACAGTTATCAACTAGTAACAGTTATCAACTAAATAGTTACAGTTATCAACTATATAGTTACAGTTATCAACTAGTAACAGTTATCAACTAAATAGTAACAGTTATCAACTAGTTACAGTTATCAACTATATAGTAACAGTTATCAACTAGTAACAGTTATCAACTAAATAGTTACAGTTATCAACTAGTAACAGTTATCAACTAAATAGTTACAGTTATCAACTAGTAACAGTTATCAACTAGTAACAGTTATCAACTAAATAGTTACAGTTATCAACTATATAGTTACAGTTATCAACTAGTAACAGTTATCAACTAAATAGTAACAGTTATCAACTAGTAACAGTTATCAACTATATAGTAACAGTTATCAACTAGTAACAGTTATCAACTAAATAGTTACAGTTATCAACTAGTAACAGTTATCAACTAAATAGTTACAGTTATCAACTAGTAACAGTTATCAACTAGTAACAGTTATCAACTAAATAGTTACAGTTATCAACTATATAGTTACAGTTATCAACTAGTAACAGTTATCAACTAAATAGTTACAGTTATCAACTAGTAACAGTTATCAACTAAATAGTTACAGTTATCAACTAGTAACAGTTATCAACTAAATAGTTACAGTTATCAACTAGTAACAGTTATTAACTAGTTACAGTAATCAACTAAATAGTTACAGTTATCAACTATATCGTTACAGTTATCAACTATATAATAACAGTTATCAACTAAATAGTTACAGTTATCAACTAGTAACAGTTATTAACTAGTTACAGTTATCAACTAAATAGTTACAGTTATCAACTAGTAACAGTTATCAAATAGTTACAGTAATCAACTAAATAGTTAGTTATCAACTATATAGTTACAGTTATCAACTAGTAACAGTTATCAACTAGTTACAGTTATCAACTAAATAGTTACAGTTATCAACTAGTAACAGTTATCAAATAGTTACAGTTATCAACTAGTAACAGTTATCAAATAGTTACAGTTATCAACTAAATAGTTAGTTATCAACTATATAATAACAGTTATCAACTAAATAGTTACAGTTATCAACTAGTAACAGTTATCAAATAGTTACAGTTATCAACTAAATAGTTACAGTTATCAACTATATAATAACAGTTATCAACTAAATAGTTACAGTTATCAACTAGTAACAGTTATTAACTAGTTACAGTAATCAACTAAATAGTTACAGTTATCAACTATATAGTTACAGTTATCAACTAGTAACAGTTATCAACTAGTTACAGTTATCAACTAGTTACAGTTATCAACTATATAGTTACAGTTATCAACTAGTAACAGTTATCAACTAGTTACAGTTATCAACTATATAGTTACAGTTATCAACTAGTAACAGTTATCAACTATATAGTTACAGTTATCAACTATATAATTACAGTTATCAGCTAAATAGTTACAGTTATCAACTATATAATTACAGTTATCAACTATATAGTTACAGTTATCAACTAGTAACAGTTATTAACTAGTAACAGTTATCAACTATATAGTTACAGTTATCAACTAAATAGTTAGTTATCAACTAGTAACAGTTATCAACTAGTAACAGTTATCAACTAGTTAGTTATCAACTAGTTACAGTTATCAACTATATACAGTGAGGGAAAAAAGTATTTGATCCCCTGCTGATTTTGTACGTTTGCCCACTGACAAATAAATTATCAGTCTATCATTTTAATGGTAGGTTTATTTGAACAGTGAGAGACAGAATAACAACAAAAATATCCAGAAAGACGCATGTCAAAAATGTTATAAATTGATTTGCTAGTTACAATTATCAACTAGTTACAGTTATCAGTTATCAATTAGTTAGTTATCAATTAGTTACAGTTATCAACTAGTTACAGTTAGCTGGTTAGGCTCATCAACTAGTTACATCTACTAGCAACAGTTAGCTGGTAAAGTTAGGTTTTCAGGGGCTCCCCTTAGAAAGGCGTGTGTTTTTTGCTCACTGATGGAAATGTTTTGACCATTACTCTGCCTGGAAATGTGAATAGAAAATCAGGATCGGTAACCAAGTGTGTAACTAAGTACGTTTCTTATCCCTGCGTGTGTGTGTGTATCTAGGGGTGTGTCCGGTGTGTCGCTGCTCACCAACGCCATGCTGACTCCGCCCACCTGCAGTGTGGCAGCTCTCTCTCAGCCAATCATCATCTCAGACACGCCCAGCCCGGCGGTCAGCGTCATAACCATCCACAGCGACTCAGACGAGGAAGACGAGAGGAAGTTCCACCCCGCCAGGTGAGGTCATTTCCTGTGTCTGTTCTCCTTTTCAATCACAAACAACTGTTCGTTTTATGTGGACAGTCCCCTATAGATGGTTTGCAGATTATAAAACGAACAACTAGCCTAACTAATCTCTGTTGATATGCAACAATTTCACTGACTTACTTGAATTAAACCCCTTAACTCAGTGAGGAGCATAGGTAATCCACAAATGATGGTAAAACAATTACTAAAGTTTTCTTAAAACAGATGAAAATTGACTAGAATTGATCATCCTATCCACCACCATCTACCATCTGTATTTCTGTTGTTCCTATGAATCTAATGTACACTACCAGTCAAAAGTTTGGACACCTACTCATTCAAGGGTTTTTCTTCATTTGTACTATATTTTACATTGTAGAATAATAGTGAAGACATCAAAACTATGAAATAACACATATGGAATCATGTAGTAACCAAAAAAGTGTTAAACAAATCAAAATATATTTTATATTTGAGATTCTTCAAATAGCCACCCTTTGCCTTGATGACAGCTTTGCACACTCTTGGCATTCTCTCAATCAGCTTCATGAGGTAGTCACCTAACAGGTTAACAGGTGTGCCTTCTTAAAAGTACATTTGTGGGATTTCTTTCCTTCTTAATGTGTTTGAGCCAATCACTCTCCTTCTTGGTAAAATAGCCCTTACACAGCCTGGGGGAGTGTTGGGTCATTGTCCTGTTGAAAAACAAATGATAGTCTCACTAAGCCCAAACCAGATGGGATGGCGTATCGCTGCAGAATGCTGTGGTAGCCATGCTGGTTAAGTGTGCCTTGAATTCTAAATAAATCACATACAGTGTCACCAGCAAAGCACCCCCACACCATAACACCACCTCCTCCACGCTTTACGGTGGGAAATACACATGCGGAGATCATCCATACACCCACACTGCGTCTCACAAAGACACGGCGGATTGAACCAAAAATCTCAAATTTGGACTCCAGACCAAAGGACACATTTCCACTGGTCTAATGTCCTTTGCTCGTGTTTCTTGGCCCAAGCAAGTCTCTTTTTCTTATTGGTGTCCTTTAGTAGTGGTTTCTTTGCAGCAATTCGACCATGAAGGCCTGATTCACACAGTCCCCTCTGAACAGTTGCTGTTGAGATGTGTCTGTTACTTGGACTCTGTGAAGCATTTATTTGGGCTGCAATTTCTGAGGCTGGTAACACTAATGAACTTATCCTCTGCAGCAGAGGTAACTCTGGGTCTTCCATTCTTGTGGCGGTCCTCATGAGAGCCAGTTTCATCATAGCGCTTGATGGTTTTTGCGACTGCACTTGAAGAAACTTTCAAAGTTCTTGAAATGTTCCATATTGACTGACCTTCATGTCTTAAAGTAATGATGGACTGTCGTTTCTCTTTGCTTATTTGAGCTGTTCTTGCCATAATATGGACTTAGACCTATTTGGTAAAAGACCATCTTCTGTATACCAATCCTACCTTGTCACAACACCACTGATTGGCTCAAACGCATTAAGAAGGAAATAAATTCCACAAATTAACTTTTAACAAGGCACACCTGTTTAATTGAAATGCATTCCAGGTGACTGCCTCATGAAGCTGGTTGAGAGAATGCCAAGAGTGTGCAAAGCTGTCATCAAGGCAAAGGGTGGCTACTTTGAAGAATCTGAAATATAACATATATTTTGATTTGTTTAACACTTTTTTGGTTACTACATGATTCCATATGTGTTATTTCATAGTTTTGATGTCATCACTATTATTCTACAATGTAAAAAAAAAAAAAAATCTATAAAGAAAAACCCTTGAATGAGTAGGCGTGTCCAAACTTTTGACTGGTATTGTATGTCTCTAATGTATGAATCTAATGTATGAATCTAATGTATGTCTCTAATGTATGAATCTAATGTATGAATCTCTAATGTATGAATCTAATGTATGAATCTCTAATGTATGAATCTAATGTATGAATCTCTGTGTGTCTGTTTAACAGCTGTGGTCCGGCTCAGAGGACTAACGTGATCAGCTGTTTGACGGTCCACGACTCTGACTCCCCCACGGCCAGACCCTTCACCCCCCGCCCCCTCGCCGGGTCCCGCAATCACACACACCTCCCTGGGGGAGGGATGTCTAGGGGCAAGTCTCTGGCCGTGGTCGCACCGTCTGTCAAGACCCAGTCGACTGAGACGGGTGAGGGGGCTCACACACGTCTAACGCACGCATGCAATCATGTCTAATACACTCTCAAACACACGACACACACACACACACACACACACACACACACACGACACACACACACACACACAGGACATACTAGTGTTGCACCGTATACCGAAACGTAGTTACTTTTTCGATACTAGAACATGTAAAACGGTTCGGTACTAGAATGTGTTGCTTTCGGTACGCCTACTTCTGCCAGATGTGTCTCAGGGATCAAGTGCACCCTGCCTGCTCCACTTACTCACTGCTAGCCTGCACTGGGAGTCTGGGGTGCATCATGTTAGCTCCCCACTCACGCTGCACAGAAGTTAACACACTTGAATAATGTCACACGGCATGTAGAAATGTTGAAACTGTTCATTACTGTTCGCAAAACAATGTCCATACAGGCTACTACATTTTACAATGGAAGAAGATACCTTTATCTTCCAGCTTTGTAGGCTAACTTTCCTTGCTAGCCGACAGCTAAAGCTAACATCAATTCACTACCCTAGTACTCTGTTTGTGATAAATCAAATCAAATCAAATGTTATTGGCCACATGCGCCGAATACAACAGGTGCAGACATTACAGTGAAATGCTTACTTACAGCCCTTAACCAACAGTGCATTTATTTTTAATAAAAAAGTAAAATAAAACAACAACAAAAAAGGGTTGAGAAAAAAAGAGCAGAAGTAAAATAAAATAACAGTAGGGAGGCTATATATACAGGGGGGGTACCGGTGCAGAGTCAATGTGCGGGGGCACCGGCTAGTTGAGGTAGTTGAAGTAATATGTACATGTGGGTAGAGTTAAAGTGACTATGCATAAATAATTAACAGAGTAGCAGCAGTGCAAAAAGATGGGGTGGGGGGGGCAGTGCAAATAGTCCGGGTAGCTATGATTAGCTGTTCAGGAGTCTTATGGCTTGGGGGTAAAAGCTGTTGAGAAGCCTTTTGGACCTAGACTTGGCGCTCCGGTACCGCTTGCCGTGCGGTAGCAGAGAGAACAGTCTATGACTAGGGCGGCTGGAGTCTTTGACAATTTTGAGGGCCTTCCTCTGACACCGCCTGGTATAGAGGTCCTGGATGGCAGGAAGCTTGGCCCCAGTGATGGACTATGCAAATCATAAGGCAAAATATGCTAATTTCGAAGCTGATTGCCACCAACAACTTTATTAATTAACTTATTCGGTCTCTCTCACTTATCTCCCAAAGATGATCTATTGCCTCAGCGAACTGACTGCCTCGTGAATGACATCATTACTGGTTAAAGAGACAGCGCACATTTTTATAACAAAAGCTACTTTTATTCCAAATGTTGTTGATCAGTACGTTAAAATAAGTTCCAAATGGAAGGGAAACAGATTGTTTTTCATCTGTAGCCACACGAACTCAGCCAAAACAAGCTCAATAACTCAATGCATGCACACTCCTATTGAATATGCATTCACCTGTATAGTGGATAGTCTTAGGCTACATCTGGATTTACCCAGTTTATCAATAGAGATTTAAATTATTACCATTACGTTGTTAAATTGGTTAAAACAAAGTCAAATTGATTGTATAATTGATTAATTAATGCACACATGACTGTCTCTGAAAAATTGTTATGTAAAAAATAAAAAAATGCTAATGTTGTGATATTGAACTTAAAAGATGCCCAACGATTGAACAGAGCAGTAGCTGAGTTTATCTGTCTGGCTCAAGTGCCATTCTGTGACTTTGGCTAATATGCCATCTTTATTTGCCGTAGTTTTTGGTATCGTGTATCGTGACGGTATTGAGTATTGTGACACTAAACCTGGTATCAGTATCGAAGTCAAAATTCTGGTATCGTGACAACACTAGGACATACCCACAGAGCTCTGTACGTTTTAGAATCACAAATACAGTATACAGAAGTACAGAATGCTTTAAAACCAGTTGAGTGTTTTGATAAAGGCTGTTGTTTCTAACCATGTCTCTCTGTCTCTTTCTGGTTGGTTTCCAGGGCAACTCCAGAGCTCCTACATCAAGCCCAAGCGGGCCAATCGGCAGACCTGTAGTGGTGACAGCAGCGACCGCCATAGGCTAGTCCCCAGCCAATCACATCCTCTCAACCTCAGCCAGGTGAGTCGGCCAGCCAATAGTATCCTCTCTTACTAGCAGGTGTGCCCCAGGCCACTGTGACACGTTACAGAACATTCAGATAGAAATGGATTGTGAAAAACAGTTGATTGTCTATTTTAATTTTTAAACAATGCTGTAAGATTTGTCCTATGTTTAAACAGGTTATTTTCATTGAGATATTTGGAAAAATACATGTTCTGATGCAGTGTCTGTCTGTCTGTCTCTCTTTCTCCAGGTACAGCCTATAGTCTCCTCGTCGTCTCAGGACCGTTCCCACGGCAACCTGCGTCGCCAGGCAACCTACCCCCCTAGCCCCGCCTCCCACTACACCTTTCAGGAAGTGCCCTCCCTAAGCACCGCCTCCAGCCTCTACACCTTCCCCGCCTCCGCCGCGCTAGCCTCCGCCTCTCATGCCATGGAACAGCTTCTGGGGCGTGGCCACCCCACCCCTTCCACCGACGCCCCTCCCACCGTCTCTTACGGAGCCTCGGGATTGGCCCGGAGGGACGCAGGGACCAGGAAGGAGTCTTCGGTGGGGTCAGGGATGATCCATGGGGTGGGGCTTCCTGCAACCTATCAGCACCAGTTTACTGCTGGGCCCCCTTACATTAGTGTGAGGCCCCGGGCTGAGGCCTACAGCGCATACCAGCTCAGCCCTCGACGGTTGGGACAGTATCCCTACTTATGATGAGACGTGGGGCGCGTTCAGCAGTGTGCAACGTTTTGGAACGTTCAGATAGAAAAAAAAAAAATCCTATGTAGAACAAACATGTCTGTGAATTGCAGATCACATTAGAGCTGGGACGATAAACCAAAAATGATCGATACCGACCATACCGATCACTTATCGCAGGCATTTTGTTGATATCGTTCATTGCAATAAGTAGCCTGTACTAGAGAAATGTGAAGTTTGAAATTAAATAAGTTTGTTAATATGGGTGATTGTTAATGGAACAATTGATGTCTACAACCATCAAACTAGTAGTAGTTTAAAGGCCAAATGCTGCCGTTTTTATCTCAATATCAAGTCATTTCTGGGTAACAACTAAGTACCTTACTGTGATTGTTTTCAATTAAAATAATCACAAATTAACAAAAAGCTTAATAGCAAAGAGCAATTTCTATAGCAAGAATTTTGCTAGGAGTGGTCTGAGTGGGAAGGGGAAACTGAAAACTAGCTGTTATTGGCAGAAAGGTTTGGAACTCTTTCTTATTGGTCTATTAAGTAATTAACCGCCTGGTGATGTCACCAAACAGGCCAAAACTCCATCCCACCAAAACAGGCAGACATTTCAGGCAGTCTTTTCAAACGGCTCTTCCACTGAAAGGGCATTATCATATTGTTCACAATTTCACAGTATTATTCCAAAAAAAACATTTTAGACTGCACTGGGCCTTTAAAGGATAATGAAACAAAACATGCAGATTGTTATAAACTCACCTTTCTATTTATCGTTATCACATTAATTCAGGTAATTTATCCCGATATGGATCACGTCGACTCTATTCATGACATTTTTATCTGCAACGTTGGAGAACGTTTGGCAACTGAAAGTGACTATGGTAGAGCAGTATACCTACTGATGATGTCATGATACTGGAGGGGAGGGGAGGGGAGGGGGAGGGGTGGGGGGGGGTCGATAATGTGTAGGACTATGGTCCTCACACACACACACACTCTGAAGGGGCAATAAGACCCCCCGCTTCACCTTGTGGATGAATCTGGGAGGGCTATGGAAGAGGTTAACTATGAACTTTTGCACTACAGCATTTTATTTACTGTTAAGCAGTGGTTCACCTCAAACTGGTTTTAACAGCTTTCTGTTAAGCAGTGGTTCACCTCAAACTGGTTTAACAGCTTTCTGTTAAGCAGTGGTTCACCTCAAACTGGTTTAACAGCTTTCTGTTAAGCAGTGGTTCACCTCAAACTGGTTTTTAACAGCTTTCTGTTAAGCAGTGGTTCACCTCAAACTGGTTTAACAGCTTTCTGTTAAGCAGTGGTTCACTCAAACTGGTTTAACAGCTTTCTGTTAAGCAGTGGTTCACCTCAAACTGGTTTAACACCTTTCTGTTAAGCAGTGGTTCACCTCAAACTGGTTTAACACCTTTCTGACCTTTTCTAGTATTATTATGTGATATTGTACTGTTATTTTTACCAGCAGAAAAAGTATAATTGTTTTGTTTTATCCCGGTTTTAATTGGATGTAGCGTTCTGATTTTTAATATCATATATATTATAAATTGTCTTTATTTAAAAGGCTTTGTGTTAAAGGACACTAGTCTCCTCTAGGGGTCCAGTCAGTGAGCTGAAACACATAATTCTGCAGATTAAAAAAAGTGTTAGTTTCTATACCATATGAAATGTAAGGATCTGGATGCATATGAAATGCACTTCGAAATTAAATGTAGGGAACTGACATGCGTCTGTGTCGTACATGGCAGAAATGTATTGTGTATAACAGATATGCTGGTCTGTGATCTGTAGCATTGCAACCTCCTAAATAGGCGCTAGCGTTGTCTCCTTTCAATAAAAGAGGCCATTGTTTCACGTCAGATGGCCTCACTTATACGCGACGCTCGTCCCTCAACAGAGTGCAGTCGCGCTATGTGACGTCAGACAATGGACGAGAGCCTAGAAAGACGTAGCTAGGGAGACGGCTCACCAAGCTAGAGCGATGCGACTGCTAGCTAGATATGCTAGCTAACGTAAAGAAACCGGGTGACCAATCTTTACCACAGCTAGCTAGAGAGGTGGTAGCTTTTAGCTAACTTAAGGCCGGTCTAAAGGTGATCCTAATATATTTAGCATGGCAGGCTAGCTAGAGAGATTCGTCCTCATGCTAGCTAGTAGTGAGACACAGCTGTGTATAGTAGAGTGTATAAGGTTGGAATCTTCTAGCTAACATAAAGGTGATTTGTGTGTCTTCAGCATGGCTGGCTAACTAGCTAGAAATGCTAGCTATATGCTAACCTAACCCGAAGAACTTCTAAAGGCGAACCTTGTGTCTTTAGCACCCTTATATAACCCACACTAATCCAGTGACATCCATAATATGGCTGATAATATTCGTATTATATTATTTTACATATACCCTAACCCCTGTGCTTTTTGTTCTGACTGTACCTAGCCTGAAACTGTGTTTTTTCTATTGTGAGTTTGTTTAAATTATGTTTAGTTGTCACACAAGATAGTCTTGTTGCTGGCACATCCAGCACCGGATGGATGAATGGTAAGACGTTTGAATGGAAGGAGAGGGAGAAAGAAATGTATAGTTGTTTGACACTGATGTGATGGATCATTTAATTTAAATCATGAGTATGTTGTATGTAGTCTATTCTGTCACAGCCTGGTAATGATGTAGACTATTCTGTCACAGCCTGGTAATGATGTAGTCTATTCTGTCACAGCCTGGTAATGATGTAGTCTATTCTGTCACAGCCTGGTAATGATGTAGACTATTCTGTCACAGCCTGGTAATGATGTAGTCTATTCTGTCACAGCCTGGTAATGATGTAGTCTATTCTGTCACAGCCTGGTAATGATGTAGTCTATTCTGTCACAGCCTGGTAATGATGTAGTCTATTCTGTCACAGCCTGGTAATGATGTAGTCTATTCTGTCACAGCCTGGTAATGATGTAGTCTATTCTGTCACAGCCTAGTAATGATGTAGTCTATTCTGTCACAGCCTGGTAATGATGTAGTCTATTCTGTCACAGCCTGGTAATGATGTAGTCTATTCTGTCACAGCCTGGTAATGACGTAGGGAGACAGTCACGCTTTAGTATTCACTCCACCAGACCTGGGTTCAAATACTATTCAAAATACGGCAAGTGTTTGCTTTTTGCACTATTGGGACATTTTTTATTGCTTCCATTGTAACAGGCACATTCAGTTGAGCACAGTTTAAAGTATTTGAAATGATTTCAAATAGTAATTGAACCCAGGTCTTCACATGACACACTGAGCGTTTTAATGTTTGTTTTGGACTGTAATTTCTGAATGTATTAATGTGGCTGAAAGATGGAAAGTCACATTACTCATCGACCAGCCAGGAAACTGCTTTAGAAACTCAAATTAATTGAAGTAACAACTTACACTGACCTACTGAAAACTATTTGGTTCGTTTTGTCACCTGTGGTTAGATTGAAGTGCATTATCACTCCTGGGTGGAACTCTCCCAACTGTAAGGGTTAATTTCACTGGTTCTGCAGAGAACGTCAGAATGTCTTCATCTGGGCGGAGTTCTTTGTTTTCAAAACACTCATTGGTGTGTTCTCGATACTGCACTGTCTGTCTTGTCATTATGTTCCACATGCATTTAGTAATCAGGTGTTATTGCCGAGGATAATATCAACCCGCAACCCAACCACTGTTTTCAAATAAATTACCCATAAGTCCATGTGTTTTTGTCTCTTGACTCTAAGCAATGCTAATGATACGCGTCAGGCTGTCATTCATTCAATAGTTAGCTAAACTTCCCATATTGATAGTGAACTCAAACATTTTGTTGCATTAATTTAAACCAAAAGGAAATAGACCTATGTTTTACACACAGTATATCATAACTTACAAGATTATTTATGTTTGAATTCATTTTATACATTTGACATTTGAGTCATTTAGCAGACGCTCTTATCCAGAGCGACTTACAGTTAGTGAGTGCATACATTTTTCATACACAGGTCTTGATCCTGTCAGTGTTTCCACAACTCAACTTGGACATGAAGCTTCACCTTGAGTCTCAACCTGCCACAGCAGGATCTCCTGTTACCAGCAAGACCTTGCCATAAACCTTATTCAATAGAAACCAAACAGAAGAAAAATTGACCTAAATGGGGAGGGACTACCTCAGCTTGTTTTGCAAAACGTTTTTTCTACGCTGTGCACTTATGAATGACTCCTTCATGTGTTATATTATCAGTGCCACAGTCTCAGGATTTTCTTCTATAATATAATATGCCATTTAGCAGACGCTTTTATCCAAAGCGACTTACAATGAACAAGGCACTTTAAACAGTCTTGGATTGCTGATGCTATGTATTGGCCATTAAAAGGGACTTTGAAGCCAGGAGCAGTCCTCCATAAGAATTAATGGAATTCTACAGTATTTCAATTAAACGTTTCAAGGATGCGTTTAAGTATTTTGTTGTTGTAGTGGGGATAGTAACAATTGTAATCAAAAAAAATATTTAAGGGGGGGAAGAAAGTATGTTTAGCTAACATAATATAATTTAAAAGTATGCATTAAGGGGTCTGCAAGTTAATAAACATGGCAAAAATGAATGTAGACAATAAATGCATGTATTGTTTTGGTAAGATATTCATTTTCAAACAACAGGAAACATAGACAGAATATAATAGACAGACGCACATCAATGACATCACACCTGCTCTAACCCACGTGTTCACACCGCAGCCATATCTATTCTGTTCGTCTCAGTCCAACACTCCCTCTCATTCTTCATACCTCGGGCGTTTCCAGTGCTTGTAACACTATGCCTTAATGGCCTCAAATTGCGCTATTCTATTTCTCAATGTAACCCACATTTTTTTTTCAATATTTAAAATAATGCATTTGATTAATCCACTGTCAATGATGGAGGTTCATTTGATTTCCAGTTTTTATGTAAACGTTTTTTCAAAAAAGATTGACTAGAAAAGTATGTGTCACGTTCGTTCATAGACG